AAGGCCGCCAAACCGGGAATAGTACCAGACACTCAAAGAGTAACTGACATAGGGCAGAACATTTGTAAAATAAAGAGATATCTGAGCCCTGAAATTCTATTTAAAACAATCCCCACGGAGACTACAAGCATTGTGGCCATGTAAGGCCTTTCCTAATGTCTTTCTGTGTTTCATTTATCGTCTCATTCAAAAGATGCAAATGTAATCAACTTCATACCTGGCTTACAAAATTTTCTCGTGTAATTTATATATTTTGTAATGCACAACAGTCTAACAACCTCAACAGGCCCCACATGTTACCTTCTTGTTCTGCTCTCCACATCAGCATATTCAAAGCCTCCTTCGCTTTAGGACTCCCCACCGAAGACAATGCATAAGTTATTAGAGCTAAAGTATAATTGTCTGAAATTCCTCTATTGAATTCAGATTCCAAAAAGTTGATAGAATCTTGCACATCAATATTAGGCTTGAAAGAAAAAATATATTTTTTACTATTCAAAATAACCACATATTTAAACAAAAAACACTTTAAAACATTCATTTAAAAAAATAATTTCAGTGTCTATTAAGCATCTGACCATGTCTTAGGCAAGGGGAATTAACAATGATCATTGACATTTAAAGATCTGCCATGCATTTTGAAAATAAGATCAAGCGCAGTGGCTCATGCTTGTAATCCTAGCACTCTGGGAGGCCAAGTAGGAGGATCGCTTGAGCTCAGGAGTTTGAGACCAGCCTGAGCAAGAGTGAGATCCCATCTCTACTAAAAATAGAAAAATTAGCCATGTGTGGTGCTGCACGCTTGTAGTCCCAGTTACTCGGGAGGCTGAGGCAGGAGGATCACCTGAGCCCAGGAGTTGGAGGTTGCAGTGAGCTACCACCGCACTCTACCACAGGCGACAGATCGAGATTCTGTCTCAAAAAAAAGAAAAGAAAAGAAAAGAAAACCGCTTTTCAGTTTTTATAAGTAAACAGGCACCATCCTTAGAAGAAATAAGAAGTAGAGCTTTTGCCAGTGTTGCTACCACTGAGTATCATAAACTCAGATGAGAGCAGAAAATATAGCTTGAGAATGATATTTCTCATATTTGATCTCAGGTGTTAAAGCTCTAAATTCAGGGAAACGTTTATCATCTACATGCCTAGTACTGGGCTAGGAAAATAGCAGGGAGCTTAATAAAGAGAATGGCTGTTGTTGATCTTATGAAATGCAGTTGGCAGTAAGAGTAAAGGCATCAATCATGGAGACAAGTATGGAGAAAAATTAAACTCATTAGCATAACTTTCCCCCATGCACCCTCACTCTCATCCAGGCATCCATGCCCACTTACCATGCTTTCCAGAGTGTGGGTATAGCTAGTACTAAATTAACAGACACTGTAATTGTTCCATGATATCTTAGAAATAAAAAATCCTTCACAACCTAAACCTGCTAGAACACATTCTCAAATTCTAAAGAATTTTCTTTCCCCTAAGAAATTAACCCTTCTAATGACAAAATATGTATTGACTTATCTTACCAATAGCAAGTATAATACATATATTAGAAAGCATTTTTAGAATTTTCTCAGTTAATCTCAAAGAGTGGATAAAATATTTTTATCCTGATTTTGGAACATGACCACAAATGCAAAGTTTGCTTTGTGTTCCAATTCAGATTTCAAATGCAATACAAAATTGCAAAACTCGTTAAGTTTCCAGACACATATTTGACCCATTGAGACGTACCTTCCTTGAATTTCCCACCTATCATTTATTAAATTAAAGATTAAATACCTGATATTTTCTATATCCCAGGAGAGAAGTCACAATATAAGCTGTAAGTGTTACTGGACTTCTATTGCCACCTTGAAGCTCACTATGAATCACTCTTCCTGGCTCCCAAAATTCACCATTGGATTTCTGACGTCCTTTGAGCCATGTATATGTTCTGTGTAACACATTCTGATCAATATCTATGTAAGGATCAGCTTCAAGGAAACATCTTAAAACAAAAGCTGACAACCTTTATGAAAAGAAAAAAAAAATTGCAAAAAAAAAAAACTTTATAAAGTCCTCCAAATAACACTGAGCAGACATAACAACACTATTTCCCCCATCAGAACAGTCACACAAGGAATAATCACTGAAGAAGGAAGAAAAAAAAAAAGAACTCAAGCAAATCAGCAAGAAAAAAAATCAAACAACCGCATTAAAAAGTGGGCAAAAGAACTAGGGTACTCACATGGCAGTAATATTCTCCAGGGATTAGGGGGATGGCGAGGTAAACCCACAAGTAAAGAGCACGGGGAGCATTGTAGAGGGGAAGGGCACGCCTCTAACCCTCGCTTGGGTGAGGCAAAGACATAAAATGTAAACATAATGTTTTTACCCTCATAATATCCTGAAATTAAAAAAATGACACAAAGGCAACATATTATATGATTTCATTTATGTAAAAAAAAAAAGTGGGCAAAAGACATGAACAGAGGGTTTTCAAAAGAAGATAGATTAATAGCCAATAAACACATGAAAAAATGCTCAAGGTCTGTAATCATCAGGGAAATGCAAATCAAAACCACCGTGAGATATCACCTAACTCCAGTGAGAATGGCTTTTATCACAAAGTCCCAAAACTACAGATGCTGGCGTGGACACGGAGAAAAAGGAATATTCATACACTGTTGGTGGGACTGCAAACTAGTACAGCCTCTGTGGAAAGTAGTATGGAGATTTCTCAAAGAACTGAAAGTAGACCTACCATTTGATCCAGCAATCCCACTACTGGGTATTTACCCAAAGGAAAAAAAGACATTTTATTAAAAAGACACCTGAACTCATATGTTTATAGCAGCACAATTCACAAAGATGTGGAAACAACCCAAAAGCTCATCAATACATGAGTGGATTAATAAAATGTGGTATATGTATAGTATGGAGTACTACTCAGCCATAAAAAAAAATGGTGAACTAATACCCTTTGTAACAACCTGGATGGAACTGGAGACCATTCTTCTAAGCGAAGTATCTCAAGAATGGAAAAACCAACACCACATGTACTCACTATTAAACTGGAACTAATCGATCAACACTGATGTGCACATATGGTAGTAAAACTCAGTGGAAACCAAGCAGGTGGGAGGGGACAGGAGGGTGGGTAAATTCACACCTAATGGGTACAATGCATGCTATCTTGGTGATGGGCACACTTATAACTTTGACTCAAGTGGCACAAAAGCAATTCATGTAACCAAAACGTTTTACCCCCGCAATATTCTGAAATTTAAAAAAAAAAAAAGAAAGAAAGACAGCAAAGAAACAATGTAAACAACTGCCTAGCAGGTGGACCTGGCCTCCACTTGAGCATGTCCAAGAAACTCCAGATAGACTCACAAAATATTAGTTTGAAAAGGAACTTAGAAATCATCTCATCCAGTCTCATTATTTTATAGATTGAGAATTCGACAGTCCAAGAGAGTTAAATAAATCCTCCAAGGTTACTCATCTTTGGATTCTTCTAGGTCTTTACCAAAGAAGATCTCATACACACTTTGGTCAGTAAATGTAGTACTTTAAACTGGGGAAAATGGATATTTCTTCTCCTATAGGACAGGAGTCAGCAAACTACAGCCTGTGGGCCAAATCTGCCTGACCCAAATCTGACCGTCAGACCCAATCCAGCCCAGGGCCTGTTTATGTGTGCACCAGCCCCCCATCATCTGCCACTAGCACCACCACCTAAGAATATTTTTTTGAGGGAGAAAGGAAAGAAAGAGAAAAGAAGGAAGGAAAAAAAGAGAAGGAGAAAGAGAGGGAGGAAGGGAGGGAAGAGAGGGGAGGGGAGGAAGAAGAGAAGGAAGAGGAGGGGAAAATGTGCAACAGATTCTATATGGCCCGAAATGCCTAAAACATTTACTATCTGACCCTTTATGGAAAAAGTTTGCCAATCCCTGCCACAGAACACTATATCAAGGTGACAAGAACATCAAGCAATAAAACACTGAAACCTTTCTATTTATGGATCTATATTCTGACTCAGGCCAAGAGAAAATTCGAAGCAGATCTGTCTCATCTTATAAAAGGTTTGGTGTGATAAACATTACTGATATTCAATAATACCCAGTTCTCTTTTACTTTGGGTGCACAGAGAAATTCACTTCTCTGCCCCCTTGAAGTTAGGCGTGGCCACGCAACAAGATGTGATAATGATAAAGTAAGTAGAAATGTTCCACTCAGGCTGAAGTTTTTAATTGCCAGTGCTGCACACTCCAGCCTCGTCTTTCCAGACTGTGGCCAGCCTGCAGCCTCCCACTGAGCCGCTGCAATGGTGGCTGCTGAAGAACGACTGCAGAGCCCCCTCCTGATCCAAAATGAAAATGCAGCATGTGCAAGAAACACCTTCGTTAATAAACTGCTAAGATTTAGGAGGGAGGGTGTTACCACAGCACACTTGGTCTAACCCGACGGATACAGTTAGTCTTTCAATGGGGAAAATAGAAATTGAAGATATGTGCAAGAAGAGAGATCAATTGTCCAAAATCAGCTACATGGAGATTCCAGTCTGGAGGAAACTCTGGATGTTCATGTTTAATTCCATTAACTGTTCACTTTTCACAAAAATAATCTTAAAGAAACTATGTTGACTGTATTAACAAAACACTTGTATTATCCATGTCAGATTAAGAAAAAAGCTATGTCACAATCACCCAGTATTTCTAACCAATTTTTCTTATCAGCTACACCATCATCATAAACTATTTTTATTGCTGTTTTTTCCAAACACAAAAAAGAGGATTTATGACTTATCTTTTCTAAATAAAAACATTTGACTCATTAATGTTTTAAAATAATATTTTAAAAGGAGAATGTCTTTTAAAGCCAGGCTATGGGAAAAGCAGCCTCCCAGTCTATAATGCACAGAGACATGTCTATCCAGTTCATGGCCATTGCGACCCAGTGAAAGCCCATTCCACAACACGGATTTGTCGAGTTGGCAAAAACACTTACCAAGTGCTCCCAGAAGGGTCATAATTCCCAAAGGCACTGAAAGACCCATCTTCCCTCTGATAGAGAAGTTCTCGCTGGTAACCTGAAGACACAAAAATGCACCAATATTCAACATCATCATAACGTGAAATGCATGAAAGTTTCTAATCATGACCTCATATTGAGAAAATATGGGCAGAAAAGGGTAAAGAAGAAATCAAACCTACAGCTAATACTTAGTACTTTCTATTTTAAGTGCTATAGGAAATTTAAAATGCCAGGGCTTTTCGAGCAGAAGGCATGAAATAAGAACTGTGATATCCAGCAAGTAAAGTAAATTCAGAAGAATACTATAGCATGGGTGATGCCTCTAGCCATTCAAAACCACACAAATTAGAGGTAGAGCTTTATTTAACTCTCTAGTGTTCACCATAATGGTTTCAATGCTTCGTTGTCTAAAATTGTTTGCTACCTAAGAAAAATACTACCTAGGATATCAGAATTAAAGTTGAAGGTTGAACTAGAAAGTAAACTATGAATAGTTAAACTATTCATAGGCCAGCAATAGAGAGGGGAAATGCTAAATAATCTAAGACAATGGCTCTTAAATTTTTTGGCCATGGCCAACTGAGATAAACCAAAAGACCAACTGGTCCACCTACAACACCAATTTCATGTTTCTACTAAAAAAAAAAAAAAGTACATGGTGGTGGTAATGAAGTATCAACATAGAAGTAAATTAGGAAGGAGGTTAAGGGTCATGTATCTGCTTTAATAAAAGCAGATGTTTCATATTTGCAAAACAATGTATACAGGTCTCAAAGTCCAGTGATTGAGAAATTGTAGGACAAACACTACAGCATTCACCAAACGACCCACAATAAACTAACTTCCTAAAAATGAACTTGAAATAGCAATAATTTATCATTAAAAAGCAAGCACAAGCAGGAACATTTCCAGCTCAAGGCATTATCAATGATTCTCTGATAATCAAGAATCCTTCCTGAAAACTACAGGATTCCACCATTGGCAGATGAGGGCACACGGCCTGAGCTCGGCAGCATGGCTGGCAACCATATTCCTTTGTGAAATGTTGAATTCAATCCCCCGTGAACTCTAGTAACAGACAAGTTTTACTTTATGAATACCATATTTTAGAAGCAGCAATAACTATAAGTAATTATTCATATTGACGAACAAAACATGAGCTTTAATGGTTTAAAATTGCAGTTAATCTGCTCTTGCCATTAAATCTCAAACCCTTCTCCTTGAGCTATTCCATGAGAAATCCTAGATTCAGAGTATCTGACTCAAGTAACAGCAAGATAAAATGTGTGAAAAAACAAGATACCATGTTACATGGTGACCTTTAAGACTTACCGTAAAAGGAATATAAACATTTAAGGTGATGACAGAATTTTGCTTCATTTGAAGAAGGGAGCATTAGATAATAATCTTTATGTTTATAACTGAAATATTATGGCACCGTAATTAAATAACAAACTTTTATTCAACACTGCCTAGATGTCAGGAATTGTTCAAAGCCCTTTGCAGGTATTAGCTCAGGTAATTCTCACAACCCTATGCTGTTAATGCTATTAGTATCCCCTTTTTTATAGATAAGGAGACAAACTCAGAATACAGACACCATGTGCAAGGCCATACAGCTGGTAGGTAGTAAAGCTAGGAATTATCACAGTCAATGTGGCTCCAAAGTCACTGTCTCCTAGTAATTCCCAGAGCTCTTTCCATGATTAAACCTGATAATACTGATATAAGCAAAGTCCTTAGTACAGTACCCTTTACATGGCAAGCTCTCAATAAACAATAGGCATTAGTCTCTAACATAGATATAAGGAAAGGCTTTCTAATCAGATTTGATGAAATAAAAAAATGGATAGGCTGGGCGCGGTGGCTCACACCTGTAATCCTAGCT